CTATAAACTAGTTTAATATGTATGTTGCAGTTTAAACAAATAAAGTTGGCACTCTGTATAAAATATAAGGAAAAGACCCAAAANCACCATCAATACTATTTTTTAAAATGCTAATAACTTCCAAATTATTGGTCCAAAAGTTACTATAGGCAGTCATTTTCTTAATTGGATAATTTTCTATACTATAAACTAGTTTCATATGCATGTTGCAGTTTAAACAAATAAAGTTGGCACTCTGTATAAAATATAAGGAATAGACCCAAAAAATTTTTTATAACAGGTATATTGAAATACATGTGTTACTAACAAAATCTAAAATAAAATATTTTTAAAGAAACTTATTATTTTAATGGTACTTGATTGATTAGCCGTAAAAAAATCACTATATAATAATATAATTTAATTGAAAATGTATTTAATTAACTAATTAAAACAAATAATTAAATTAATTAACTAAAACAATTTAAAATTAAGTATATTGACTTTGATCGAATATTCGTTTATTTAAAAAACATAGCCGAGTAGACCGTTCCCACTTATCGCGTGTTTGGACAAATATTTATAATCTCCTTGATTCGTGTCACCAATACCGACAACCGTTAGGAAGATGACGAATAACGAATACCGATGAACGAACACTCGCACGAGTACATCGTTTCCATTGCTTGACAAATATATGCCAAACAGCGAATATTCGGCAAATAGACGAGTAGTGGGAACACGACTTTACACAGACCTGTTGTATTTACTTGATATATGCGCTCGGCTACCGATAACGCAATAAAAGATGGACACTTATGTAGTATGCGGCTAATTACGAGCATAACACTTAATCGTTGACCGAATCATTACTTTACGGTTATTGTTCGTACTTTTAAACTACTTTTCCTGTCAACAGGCGATAAAAAATCATTATTGCATTGCGATGATTCTATAGATTCCATTATTTGAAAACGTTCGCTTAAAAATGTCGTTAATTCCTTGACAGTTGATAGTTTACCTAGTAGCGGCTCGTGGGTTGGACGACCGGACGGCCGCACCGCCTACAAAAATTAATTAAAAGAAGAAAATTAATTGCATATTTTTATTATAAATGCAAATTATTTAATAGTATAATAGTTATAATACGAACATAAAAGCTGTTTCCCTCATTATATGCTGATACGCATACACACACACGAGTAGTGTTTGGATGACCTACAGCATTGTCCATACGGTAAAATATTAATTTACTACTAAATTGGGTATTTTATTATTAGAATTAACTGCGCGTACAGCTCGTCGTCACCGATTGCTGTAATAATATAATCGCTCTTATTATTTTCATTTCTATTTTCTACTGCGACCTTTAAAATAATATGTGTATTGTGTATTATTTTATTATATTTAATTTGACAATTTTTCATAACCCGGCTTTCGGTTATCTTCAGGCTTAGTTTATTTTGGCTTTTAACGATAATAAATAATAATTGTTCCAAAATAAATAAACTGATTCAGCTGACCGTTACTACTATACAGAGATTCAGTAAGTAAGGAAACGTTGAGCAGAAATAACCATTTTACAACTCGATTTGTTAGAAATTTTTATGACACACGATCATACAACGTTTTTTCTTGCGTACTCTAATATCGCACTTTCGCGTTCCGCTAAACATTAGACGTTCCGGGCGAAGGATAATACGTCCGAGTGTGATCTTTTATAATTCAAATATATTAAATAAATTTAAAATAAAACGTCAAGTACGAAAATTGATATACGTTTATTTTACAAGCGCGAGCGGTGCGCTCCACAAAAGGTATGCTGCTCTCAATAATAAAAATGTACAATTTTTATCAGTCTTATGATTTATCAACATTTATCATTTATCACAAAAAGTTATTTTTTGGTAGTACTGAAGACATTGCCCAACCAAATTGTATACCTAATAATAAAATTAAAATACATTTTTTTTTTAATTTCTATCGTCCAAATAGATTATGAAACCTTTTTTAAGATCATAAATTGGAGCATTCGGATTGTTTGCTACTGAATATCGTTTTGATGCCTGAGTTAACCATTATCTTATTACTGATTCAAACATTAAAATCACGTTGCAATCGGAAATAAGCTTAAGTTCAACCCTACTGTACTACAACATACTGTCAGGATCATGTAGTCCCTTTAGCTGTCTTCTTTACACACTTTCCTAACTCTATCGTGATAGACTTTAAAACACCTTTTACATATCTTATAACCTGCTTTGTGTTTTGTTATTTGAGGTTCTACTAATGTTGAAAAATGATTGGCTTATTCTTTTTTTTCGTGTGCAATAATTCAAAATGAATAAGCTTCTCTTTTTCATATGCTCNTATTTGTTTTTTAAGATCATAAATTGGAGCATTCGGATTGTTTGCTACTGAATATCGTTTTGATGCCCGAGTTAACCATTCTCTTATTACTGATTCAAACATTAAAATCATGTTGTAATCGGAAATAAGCTTAAGTTCAACCCTACTGTATTACAACATACTGTCAGGATCATGTAGTCCCTTTAGCTGTATTCTTTACACACTTTCCTAACTCTATCGTGATAGACTTTAAAACACCTTTTACATATCTTATAACCTGCTTTGTGTTTTGTTATTTGAGGTTCTACTAATGTTGAAAAATGATTGGCTTATTCTTTTTTTTCGTGTGCAATAATTCAAAATGAATAAGCTTCTCTTTTTCATATGCTCGTAAAGAAATTATAATGTGTTGATCTTCACGGTCAATAATGAGTTTTGAGTTTTTTGTTCTATTTTTATATGTAAATGTATACTTTTGTTACCATGTATATTTATGAAAACCTCCAGGTTTTATAATAGCTGATTCCTGTAAAATTAAACTTATCGAGTAGAATTCATAAAATTTTATAAAAGACATTCCGTTAGGGTGATGAATATTGATATATATTGATTGTATACTATTTTTGAAACACATATTATTTATATGATATTATTATAATTTAAGTTCTGAACGTTAATTTTAGCCTTTCGATTTTCAAGTGATTGAAGTAGAGCTATATAATACAGTTCACCAAGAGGGCAATATCTGTAAACACACACCATAATCCAACAAATCCTATTTATTGTATAACCAAAGCCCTTACTTAAGTAAACATCGATATTTTCCATAAACCGCAAAATGTCTTTGGATTCAGGTGTTCTGGCGAATCAAAGAGCAACAACATTTTTCCAGGCATAAAAATGCTTTAATCTCAATAATTACTACTTGGTATACCATACTTTTCACTGAAGATGATAGTAATTTAATAAGTTCAAGTTTAGTATTTTAAAAGAATAAAACATACAAATTTTGTACTTTTAAAAATAATTGAAAACTTTATAAGATGATTATGTTTTTAGAAATTTTAATTNTGTAGAGCTATATAATACAGTTCACCAAGAGGGCAATATTTGTAAACACACTCCATAATCCAACAAATCCTATTTATTGTATAACCAAAGCCCTTACTTAAGTAAACATCGATATTTTCCATAAACCGCAAAATGTCTTTGGATTCAGGTGTTCTGGCGAATCAAAGAGCAACAACATTTTTCCAGGCATAAAAATGCTTTAATCTCAATAATTACTACTTGGTATACCATACTTTTCACTGAAGATTATAGTAATTTAATAAGTTCAAGTTTAGTATTTTAAAAGAATAAAACATACAAACTTTGTACTTTTAAAAATAATTGAAAACTTTATAAGATGATTATGTTTTTGGAAATTTTAATTATGACTTTTATAAATGTGAAATTAATAATACTGACAAGTATTCTCAGCTATATGATCGATAAGTACACTTTTATAATAATATTGAACAACAGAAATGTTAATTAAATGTTTTAATATAATTTACTTTAAAAGGCAGAGTTAGTATAATAAATAAAATTATTTTATAATTACAAAACTTATCATATTAACCAATAAATTAACTTTCTTGTCATTATATCGTTATAAATAAAGAAAATAGTTAACACTTATGGTGCTTTTCAACGTTTTATGTATTTTAATATTAACTCATTCTAAAAATATGTTTAACCGAGATTATTAAAAACAATCTTAATATTTATTATTTACATGCATATGGAGGAGTATAAGGCAAATTAATAACCTTTAATAAAATATCATAAAGAAAATATAAATCAGAAATTTTTTTTAGGAATACTACTAGATATATTCAGATCAATTGATAAAATCCTCATTATTTAATACTGATTTCTACTTAATTGTAAAAAGTCAAATTAAAATTTTGTTTTAATGGGAATGTTAAAATACTTTTGCTTTAATTAGGTATTATTATTAATTAGGTATTATCTAGGTAATTAGGTAAAAAAATTACTATATATGTATTAACTAAGTTCGAGGTAGTTTCCTCATGTCCCACTTAAAAAACTTTGGGTAAATTATAAAAATTTGTTATTCTTTTCGTAATAAATTATTATTCAATCAATTTTATAAAAAATTCGGAAGCATTATTATTTTTTTTTCGGTTACCTGATTCATTTATTAATCAATCCATTTATCAATATCAAACAGATATAATACATACTATTTTTCAATATAAAATGTTTAATTAAATTTTAACTATAACTGTTAAAAAGTTATTTTTATTTACGATTTACAAATTTTCATTGAAATAGATAATCTTTAAAAATATTTAAAAAAATCGGTTTCAATATGAAACAGTTAAATCAAAATAAACTGTTAGATAAAATAGATACACAAGTATTATAGTATTTTATTTTAAATTTAATGTTCATTTGTTTTTTTCAATCAAACATTTCATTAAAGAAAATTCGTATTTTTGCATATGTAAATAATTAACAAATTATATTTTAAATTACAATTGTTCATATATTATTAAAGTACATAATAAAATTTTATTTTTGATCATGTTTTTAAAATAAACTTGTGACTACTACTTATAAATACTCTTGTTACAGTAATTCTTGTAATTCAAACATTTTTGATAAGTAATTTTTAATTCTCTTAAAATAATAATATGTTACTCAATATAGTGAAATTAATTATTATTTTTATTCAAACAATCAACCAATCGATTTGTGTTGATCTAAATCACATTACACATGCGGACATACAGACTCTTGAAAGGGAATTTCCAAATATTATGAAAATCACACTTCAAAATCATCCATATTATATAAAATCAAACAATGGCGTAATGGTTTGTCCAATACCTTACAGTCAAGCAGTAGATAATGAAGAAGTTCCTTATAAAGGTATATTAATAGAAAATGAAATTTTGGAAAATGTAGTTAATGAATGTGTAAATAATCACTTTTATACTTTGGCTTATATAATCATTTTGAACGCTATTGAAAGTATGGGCTTTACATATATGTATCGATTCTGCGAGTTTGCAATAGAAATGAATAAAAAACGTGCTAATATATTTGATGAATTAGAAGACTTTAGTGAACATCTTGAGGAACTTATACTGATATTTAATAGAGAATTGTTTTCACCTGAACCATATGAATGTATTTTAGAAGTTTACAAAAAACACAAACACAATCATAAGAAGTACAAGTTTAAAAAAGTAGACAGAAAATACAGAAAGGATTTACTAAGCTGCATGAAATTAATGAAAGATAAAGTACACTTTTTAGCAGAACCTCGTGTAGAATCAATAAATACTATGTCTATAAACGAATTAGAAGAGTATTCTGACAATAATAATAAAGTTCTTAGGAATGGGTTGAGTTTATGGTCACAAATTTCTAATTACAAATATGTAATTGGAGATAAAAGTAGGGAGGAAAATTTTTTTTAAAACGTTTTTTATATAACATAAATTTTTAAGAAAAAAAAAAGCATTTTTATAATTTGTGAAATATTTTCCTGCAAATATTTGTCAATTAATTTCAAGATAATAGAATTATTGGCTAATTTATAAATATAGATTTATAAAAATTCAAATTATAATATAAATATATATTCGATGTTAAAGAAATTAATCTTCGAAATTGTCGGCTATTTGTTTAATTGGTTTTAAATTCGTAAAGAAATACTGAAAAAGCTTTTGAACTAAAACTTAAAACATAAAATTTGAAAAAATAAATACCAATATAAGTATTTAACAATACTATTCATATTTACTGTAGATCAAAGCTTTTGTGGCAGGTGTAACCGTTTGTGTAGTGGTATGGTTGATACAATTTTTATTTTTGTACCATGCGGACATGGCTGGTGCTGTGATTTGTGTTATAGCCTTGTGAAAAAGTGTCCAGTATGTCATCAAGATATTACAAGTACTCAACAACTAAATATACTAACACCTACATCAATAGTTGAAGGAAGTAAATAAATTATAATTACTATGTTTGGTAATTTAGATTGAGGGGTTTATAGATTTATTATTTTTTGCATACGGCATATTAATAATTAGCAAATTGAGAATAGTTAGCTCCCTTTCAGAAATACCACTAATATAATATATGCATTAAAAATTACATGATTATCTACTTTACAAAACTCTATACTTTAAACTTTACTTAGTAAAGTGTCTACAAAATTATATAAAAATACTTTTAAATATAACTAATGACAAGTTTTTGAAAAATAATTAAAATGAACACGTATGATTATTTTAAATACTTGTTAAAACTTTTATGCAATAACAATATGATTATAGTATTGTACGACTTTTGATTTTAAATTGAGCTGAACTAAACTTATATTTCAATAAAAAATTTTTTTTTTGGTATTGCAATGCTAAAAAAAAAAAAGATAACGAATAAAAATTATTTGAAATTTTAAGTTTTGTTCAAATTAGGAGATTACGAAAGGCAATTACGAAGTAGGTAGAATTTTTTAACAAAAATGCTACAGAAAAAATTGTTTTATTTTCAATTAGTGTATATGAACTTTTATATATAATTACTATTCCGTTAATCAAATTTCTCTTTTAACAACTATTGCCTTTTGATAATTACGTTCAAAACATATTTTATTCTTTTTATTATTAATATAAATAACAATATTTTATTTTTTTCAATTGTAGAATAGCTGTAGTTTTCTTAAAATTATTATGGAACTATCAACATTTTTTGTTAAAAAAGTATTTAAAAATGGCTATTAAGTGTGGCCATTTGTAAATATAGAAATTTTGTTAACATTACTTGGGGGGTCATGAGGTCGATTTCTTTTCCTTTTATATAATTTTCTGTTACAATATTTTAACAATTATAACAATAATTAAAAATGACATAAAAAATTTCTTAATCTAAAATATCTTGCCACGCACCAGGGGAAAAATTTTGTTTTCTCTATATACAGAATGATTTTTTTTATCATAACCCACTCAATTACATACAGAGTAATAATAATTCAAACATTTTTTTTTTGTTTTCCTTAGTTACACATTGTTCTTGAATTATTAACTACTTAAAACTTTTTATGTTCATCTCTTATGCCTTGTAAGGGTGTCAACTTTGTTTTTTTTAAATGGGAACACACATTTTGAATTTAATAAAATGTTTGAGTTTTTTATAACATTGCTGTCACAGTCATGGGTTGTTTATTATCAAGTATGAGTATCAATAGATATACAATCTGTATTGTCAGTTAGTGTATTTATTAACTCACAACAATGTGCCTTACTACCATTGATAATAACAATGCTGTGTACCTGCTAATATCGATGTCATAAAAAACCAATTAGCTACCTGTATTTATAATTCCTCGTGTATTATACATGTATATTAACTCAAAAATTTGAAACTTTAAGTGTTTATATATAATAAAAAAATAAAGGTATATTAAAAATTCAAACGCCATTTACTATTAAATTAAAAATTCAAACATTTTATTAAATTCAAAATATGTGTTCTCATTTAAAAAAACAAAGTTGACACCTTTATCAGACATAAGGGATTAACTTACATAGTATTACATAGTGAACACATTTATTATTTATATTTATGAAGTATATGTGTTATGTATAATTTACAAATAATATTCTAGTTAAAATTTAGTCGTATTATGTATATTTTAAATATTATAGTAGATATAACAACAGAAATTCAGTTTTCAATAACCTTTTAATTTTCTTGGTATACTAATTTGTGTACAAAAAATCAAATATTGCTGTTAAAAAATGAATCTTATTTTTTTGACAAACGAAAGAAAATATCTTTCTTGACACATATTATAAAAAAATCTAAAAAGCCACAGATCTACAAATTGTTGTCTATTTAAATATTGTATACTTGGTTTATATTATTTATATATAAACCAAGTAACTAAGGACTAAACAAATAAAAGCTAACTAATGCAATATATATATATATTTATTGAATTTTTACTACTTATACTTATTTACTTAAGCGCGTGCAGTTTGTTTTTACTTTAGTGCTTAATATCATTGAGTGAAAATTAAAATAGTTTCCCACTCCCGTAAACTTTTGTACTATAAAACGAACTAATTTTCAATATTTGTAATTAGATTATTTAACCGTGCAGCCAAAATGTGTCTTACATCGACGAGAAGCACGTTGTATAAGCTGCTTCAAAAAAATACAAAATATGAATCCTCCAAATAAACACGTAATGAGTCCATGTGGTCATGGTTGGTATTGCAGTAAATGCATTGATAATGCCAATTGTACAGAATGTAACCTGATAATCAAAGATAAATTACGTGTAAAATTGTTAAACAATGAATAAATGTAATTATGTTATTTCTTTTAATAATATTATTTTTAATCATTTACGAATATTTTTGTTTTCCTAATATACAACAAGTTCCTCGTTTGTACAAAATTACATTTTTAAATAATGCTATTCAAAATTAATCATTATAAAAACTTGACTAAATTACTAGGCCAGTGATTGCTACTATATGCTTGTTACTGGATATTATACTATCAATATATTATATTGTCTGTTCATGATGTTACAGCTTTAGTAATTTAAAATTGTATTATAATAAGCGTAAGTAATACTCGGGAAATGGTATTTTTTTTAATAGTTATTTCTCGTTTGCACTGTTCCTCTCGTCGAAAATTAAATGATTTTGACACGGAGGAGATAAAAACCATTATGTTAAATTTCACCATGAGAACTGTGCTCCGTATTATAGTAAGTCAAAATAAAACGAAGAGGGGAGGATATCTAAGTGAGTGAGTTGAGTAGAAGAAAATTGTTACTTTATTTCGGGGTGTTGTTCGAGGATTATAAAATTACATGAATTTAGATTCTTATTGACTTTTAAAATCTTACCTGATAATTTTCCCGTTTCTTACAATATTTTTATTAATAATATTAATCAATAATTAAAACAAATCAATTTACTTTGTAACTTTAACAGTTGAGAAATTCGACAATGATGATTATAAATTATGCGTGATGGTGTTGAGAGTGCATTAGGAGCAGCAACTTGAGTATCTGGAGATAGATACTCTCAAGCCCTCAGGACTGACTGCTTTTTATAGTATTTTGTTTCCCCGAATTATCACCATTGTCCCATTCTTGCAATGTTATTATTTTATTGACAAGTAATCATAAAATTTAGATATTAATATATAAATAGCATCAAATATATAAATTAATACATAAAATATATAAATTATCACATTCGAATAATATACAAATCACTTTGATGTTTTATATGACGTCAGTATAGTTTGTTTTACACATTGTGTTTTATTATTAAGATAAGAGTAAAAAGAACTGACAAGTATAGTCATCTTTAATCGCAACTTATCTGACTGTCAATCGTAATATCTTTACAATAAAACAAATTAATCTTAATAAAAACCAAAAATGTAGTTTAAAATCACTATAAAAATACATTTATATGACTACATTTTAGTATCACTATAACTGTTATTATTATATTAATCTGTTTTAGTAATGACTTTTTTTTTTCAATTATTAAGTATTTTACATTTTTTTTTTGGATTTAACTTTAAAAAGTCAAAACACATATATAAATTAAAATTGAATCTATATTTTTAAACTAAATAAACAAAATTATAATTTGATAGTTAAATAACAAAATTTTTTTTTTTTTTGAAAAAATTACCATCCGAACTAAAACATATCTTTTTTTATATTTGATTCATTATAATAAACAATTTACCATTCAAGCGAAGGCGCTTGCTACAAAAAAAAAAAAAAGACACAAAAAACAATAGACTGACTGACTTACGACAATAAACTTTACACGGATGACAATTGACACGAAGGTCATCGATTTGCCGTGCTGGGCGAGTAAAACAAGACGCTGGAGATCAGCTGTCACACGATATAATATAATCAATGATGTTTATAACAACTGGTCTACTAAATCTTTGCTAAAAGCATTCTGTACCAAACAACCATGATGTTTTTATTTTTTTAATTTTTTTTTTTTTGTGTCTGTCACTACTTTTTCTCAGCTCTGGCTGGAACAATTTTCTCAACGATAGGTCAAAAGATCATAAATCGTATCTAGTTGAAGATATTACCCTCAAAAATTGAAAATTTTATGCTCGTTCCTCATAAACGCAGAAAATCCCCTCAAAAATTATGATTTTTAAAATCGGTAAATTTCGACATTTTTTTTTCTAAAAATTGCCATAACTTATTTGGAAAATGAATGAATCAAAATATATTTTTTTTTATTGTAACTATAGATATTTCTGTCTCATTTAATATAAAGTTTTTGAAAATCTGTACACAGGAGGGAATTCATAATAGCGTTTTCTGCACAAAAATTAAAATTTTTAAACTTAAGNCATTTTCTGCACAAAAATTAAATTTTTTCAACTTAAGTTTTGAAAATGTTCCAGAAAAATTAACACTTTTATATGTATCTTAAATTTTAGACTTATGTAATATACTTAACTATTAAAAAAAAAATTCTACTTATAAATCGTCTTCATGGTAAAAAGGGCTGTCATATTTAAAAATATGCTACTTTTATGTTAAATTTCTTAATATTGTATTTTAATATAATTTAAAATACCTCATATGGGGAATACACTGATTTTAATGAATATTATATAAATCTAATTGACATAGAATATATAGTTAAAATTATTTTATTTTTTTATTACTTTTAAGTCGAGAAAAATAACTTTAAAATTTTAAGTAACTTAAATTGCCAATTTTATCAACCGACAAATGTGACGTACAGTTATGGAATCCGTAACACTGACGCTAGAGGTACGAGGATTGATTCCGCCCGTGACAATGAATTTTTCCTTTAATTCTTTTTGAGTTAGAAAAAAAATGTTAAAATCATTTTTTTTTTATCTCATTTAGATTCAATAATTTGAATAAATATCCATAACCACCTCAAACCCGGTGCTCTACAGGGCTCACGCTTCTACGGCGCTTTAGCCCCCTCGGCCTGTCCTTACAGGTAGGCCACTGATTCCAGTAGGAGTACTCGGCTGCGCTGAGCACGACATGTTGCGTGAAAAAAATATAACTTCAAAAGCAGTTTACCAGATAATTATTCCCACTTGTAAATTAAACATTTTTACTTTTATAAATATAAATGTAATAACGAAATACTTATGTGTATTAACAACTATAGTTCAAAGTTATCTTATTCTTATTATTCCAAACAACAAATAGACGAAAGGAAACTTAATAATTTAAGTTTTGATTCTAATCGATAAAAAAATGTTAAATACAGTGTTATCGGTGAAAACTACAATCAATAACATAAATTATAAACGAAATTTAAATTCACAAAGTAAAATCATGTCTTATTAGAAACTATGCAGGTGGACTTAAAAAAATAAAAATTGTAGGCAGGCGGTAAATTTCAAACGATCACAGCGGGTAGAATATTGATTAAATTTTAGATTTTTGGAATTTTCCACCTTCCATTTAGATTACAGTGGTATATGAGGTATACAGAAAAAATTGTTTTCATGGAGAAAAGTGGCATAAGAAATGCGGGCGGCGTGGCCTAGAGTTCCCAGAAAAATAAATGCTCATAACTTGGTGAAAAAAGATTTCAACGAAATTTTCAGGCTACCTTTGAGCAAACCAGGTAAAAATTTTAGAATTTAAATCGAAAAACGCTAACGGCAATACGCATTTTTGATAAATTTTTCAAACGCTCACGGTGTGCTAAAAAATTATTCTTAAAATAATAATTTCTAGAACTACATCGCCGAGTTCGTTTATTAAAAAAAAAATTTCAAAATAGTAGATCGTTAAAAATTTATTCCAGCACTGGCTAATTTTATAATGATTTGTTATATAATAAGATAAACATATATATATATTCATAAATATAAATTTAATGTAACTTTGATATAAAATGTTATTATTTATTTGTAATTTATAATAGAAAAGTATGTTAAAAGTAAAAAGTACATTTTGCAAGCATTTTTAGAATAGTACTACTTCATGTTATAATACCAACGTATGGTCTAATATTCTTGTAACAACTTATGTGATTATGTTTTTCATTAAATCCTTACTAATTGATAAAAATGAATACCTGTAACGCTAAAAAATTATAATGTGACCCATCATTGATAAATTAAAAAACGTGTTCCTTATAAAGAAATATTTTATAAAATTCATAAAATTTTGTCTTTTTAAACCAATAGAAAATCTATTTTTGGTGAAATTCGTTGTCGTTTATGTAAAAAGAATTACTAACTAAAATTTTTTTTTATGGCTGCAATTTATATTGAAGAAATATCAATAAATTATTTTTATTTTTCAAGAATGCTTAAAAATATTAAAGAAGTTAATCTCATAAATTTCTACTCTACTATATGAGATCTTTTGAATTTGTTGTAATTTGACGTATTGTATTGAACTGTAATGTTATTGTAGTGATAGCAAAGATTTTGTTGTACTAAAATAAAAATTCTTATTTTCAAAGGAATTTTCATATCTTCTTCTTTAGTATTCAGTCCTGAGATTAGTTTGTAGCAATTCTCCACTCTTCCCTGTTACTTGCTTTTCTCTTTGTCTCTTCATAAGAAATACATCCTTGGTCCTCTATTATTTGTTGCATATATTCCATTCGTGGTCTTCCTCTAGCATTTTTTCCTTCCAAGCAGCCTTCTATAATCAATCCTAGCAACCCACCATGTCTCAATACGTGTCCAATCCATTCATTTCTCCTTTTTTTGATACTACTCCATAAAGTTCTTCTTTCGGACATTCTTTCTAATACTTCCTCGTTTGTTTCCATACCCGTCCAACTTATTTTGAGCATTCTTCTGAAACACCACATCTCGAAAGCTTCTATTCTTCTTCGCTCTTCTTTGGCAATCGTCCAAGTTTCGCTGCCATACAGCATTATACTCCATACGTATGTCTTCAGGAGATATATTCTGGTGCGTATGCTAATATTTTTTGAAGTAAAAAGTCCTCTCTTTTTGTTAAATGCTATCTTAGCTTGGCATATTCGCTTTACTATTTCTTTTTTACTTCTGCCATCCTTACTTACTATGCTTCCCAAGTATGCGAACTCTTCTACTTGCTTTATTTCTTGGTTATTTTGCAGATGTATTCTTGTCGTAATATTATAGCTCCTGCTGCATACGAGAACTTTGGTCTTTTTCGTATTTATTTTCATGCTCATTTCATTGAGCAGAGTTTCTTCCATACACCATAGCATCCTTTGCAATTCTTCTTCATTTTCAGCTATGACTGCTATATCGTCTGCAGTTACCTGCACCTACACCCAATATTGTAGTAGCTGCTGCCCTACTACAAGTCCCTTTCAGTCGCTTTTTACGATA